CGTTTTAACATTTAATTAATTATTAATATAAAAAATATATTTTTTTCATTATTTTTTTATTAAAAGCATCACAACACGAATTATACAAAAGTTAAAATTTAACTTCATAAATTTAATTTATATTATAAAATCTCATACTTATGAAAATTAATTTTTAAAATTATATATATAATGTTTCAAAATAATTCATCTAATTTATAATATGACTTATCTACTAAAATTTAAAAAATCTTATGATTATAAAGAGGGAATTACTAATGCTCGGCTTCGACGAATATTGATGCACCCTCAATGCTCGATTTTAACAATTGTTATAACATGACGAGAGATGGGATGGTTTCGACTATAAGGTATAATTAAAACTATAGATATATTTATAATTTTCTAATTCATGTGCTGCATTTTCTCGAAATCATATTAAGCTCACATCTGATGTGGTGTTGAGGTGTGACCCAGATGTGTTCAAGCCTGAAAATTTTTTAGGCATGTATTTTGTAGTGTGGAAAAGTGCAGGATGTGTCAGACAAATGTCGGTGTCTGATATGTATCCGACACGAATATGCCACATTTTTAGAAACATTGGTGCTACATAGGCGGCAGGCTTCTGGGCAGCAAACTTCTATGCTTAGCTTTAGGCGCCAAAATAACACGACAAAATCGACTCATTTTATTGGACTCATTCATTACTGTCCTTTGATGATGTCAGACAAGTCAGAAATGTCTAGTACCCAAAAAAATTATGTTGCTTCTATTGGTTCCAATAATTTTTTAACTAACTCTCCTTACTCATGGTGGTGTGAGCATTGCAAAAAACTATGTCATACATATGGTGGAAGCTTCATGATAAACCTGCAAATTGGAAATAAAAATCTAAACGTGCAGCTCGGGTCCATCAAAGCTACCACTCAAGAGTTTTCTACCAACTTTAGATGTTTCATCAAGGAGCAATTAGAGCACATGCGCAAGTTATTTCAATCTCTAAAATTGTCACTAACTCCGTCTTAATCTTCAAGTAGAATGTTAACTCTTTAGTCACAACATTGTTAGATATTATCCTTAATTTTATTCATTATTGGATAATTAATTCTAGCACAACTAGTCATATAACTGGTTGTTATGAATTATTCTCATCATATTCTAGCACAACTGATCATATGACAGGTTGTTCTAAATTATTCTCATCTTATAGACCTCATACAAACAATAAATGATTAAAATTATTGGATAATTGATTCTAGCACAAATAATCATATCACTAATTGTTCTAAATTATTCTCATCCTATAGGCCTGATACAGACAATAAATGGTTAAAATTGTTGATGGTTCCCACTTCGATAATTGTCGGGATAGGAACTATCAAACTCATCTCGTTGTTAACCCTTTGAGATGTGTTACATTTTCTCAATTTGTCTTATAATCTATTGTCCATTAACAAAATATTTTTTTATTATAAGTGTCAAATTAATTTATACTATTCTTATTGTGAGTTTCAAGAATTGACAATGCCAAGAAAAAAAATGAACTATTATTTTAATGATAAACTTGATGTAAATAGACAATATCAAAATACTTGTTAAAATTCTAATTTTATTTTTAAAGATAATGATATTAAAGTGCATTATAAATTAGATCATCCTAATTTCATTATTGAAAATTCTTGTTTCCCAGATTATTTTAAAATAAAAAATTTCTCACTTTTAAATATGAAGTATGTCAGTTTATTGAATATCATCGCATGTCCTTTCCTCCCCAGATTTACAAGCCAACTACACATTTTACTTTGATTTATATTGATATTTGGGATCCTTGTAAACATCTTGCACACTTTGAAAAAAAAAATGATTTGTAACATTTACTCATGATTACAAAAGATTAAATTTGGTGTATTTAATGAAAGGAAAGTCTGAACCGGAAATAATTTTCAAAAACTTCTATACAATGGTGCAAACATAATTTTAAAAAACTATTGAAATATTATGAAGTGATAATGACCGAGATTATTTCACAATTATTTTGGGTCAATTTTTTTTTAAAAAATGAATAGTTTATTAAAGTTCATGTGTTGACAACCCACAACAAAATGGTGTGACTTAGAGAAAAACAAACTCTTATTGGAAGTTACTTGGGCTTTGAAAACCTTTTTATGTTTTTCAAAAATTTACCCAACAAATCGACTTTCTTCTTTACCTTTAAATACATTTGAGAGTACTATATTTGTTCACATTAATAATCATAATCAAAGAAAACTTGAACCCCGAGCCAAAAATTGTGTTTGTTGTTTATGCTCCCACCCAAAAGGGGTATAAATATTTTGATTATATTTTTAAAAAATATATTTGTTTCCATGAATGTCACTTTTTTGCATTACATCTTTTTTCACCTCATCTTCATGGGATGAGAGACAAAACAAAGATTCAGCTATTATTTTTCATGACTTTCTTCAAAACAAAAACTCACAAAATAATCTGTCTCCAATCTTCATTGATTAACCTGAAAACTGAAGTTACATTATAGCGAGAGTAAGTGAAGCAAGTGTTTTAGATATCGAAGACGATTCTGATAATCTTACAATGACATCTCATGATATTCATAATCCCATAGCTAATAAAGAAGATACAGAAAAAAAACTATGACAATGATGACATTATATACTCACGACAAAGGACAACTCAAAAGAAAGTATTTACGATTAATTACATTGGTCAGAAACCTTTGCATTGCCCAAAGTCCATGAATCATTACGTAATGTCCTCACTGAACATTTACCTCATAATCAATTCACTTCATATTTGAATTTTGAATCTTTCAATTTTGAACCTGAGTCCAACCCTAATCATAAATCTAATGATTTCAATCATCTCGTTGATGTTGGTAAAGGGGTGAGGTCTTGCACCCAACATCCATTATCTTATTATGTGGCATATGAAAATCTCTCACCCATTTTTCAGACTTTTACTTCACATTTGTCTTGTATAGATATTCATAATACTGTGTAAGATACTCTGAAAGTTTTCGAGTGAAGGGAGGTTGTCTTGGAGGAGATGAAAACTTTGGGAAAAATGACGTAGGAAATTGTTGATCTACCTAAAAGGAAGAAAACTATAGATGCAAATGAGTATTTATACTCAAGTATAATTTTGATAACTCTCTAAAGCGGCACAAGGCTCGACTGATTGTTAAGTGATTCACCAGACATACAACATTGATTACTTAGAGACATTTGACTTAGTCGCAAAACTAAACTCTATAAAACTTCTTATGTGACTTGCAATTGATTTTAAATGGCCCCTACAATAGTTGGATATAAAAAATGTATTTCTCAATGGAGAGTACATAAGTACACCTCCAGGATTTAGTGAGAAGTTTGACACAAAGGTGTGTCAACTAAAAAGTTGTTTATATTAATTAAAATAGTAGTCGAAAGCGTGTTTGAAAAATATACACTATTTATTAAGGGTATATTCAAGGACAAGGAGATCATAGAATATTATTCAGACATTTAAAGGATAGAAAAATAGTCATATTGATTGTGTATTCGGAAGATATAATTCTCATCGGAGATGAAGTACATAAAATAAACCATTTGAACACTTCCCTCTCATCAATTTTTTAGACCAAGAACTTGGGATCTCTGATATATATTTTTGGCATGGAGGTTGCTAGATCCAAGAAAGGGATCATTGTTTCTCAATGTAATACACTGTTGAACTTATGGAGGTTGCTAGATCTAAGAAAGGGATCATTGTTTCTCAATGTAAATATATTCTTGAACTTCTAAAAAAAATTGAGATGAATGATTGTAGATCTACAGACACTCAATTGATCCAAATTAGAAACTAGAATATGAAAAGAAAAGTAACCCAATGAATACATTTTAACATCAAAAGTTGGTGAGAAAGTTAGTATACTTATCACATACACGACCAGACCTCGCCTTTGATTTAAGTTGGGTCTATCAATTTATGCATTTGCCCTCTAAGAAACACCTTGAAGTAGTTAACATGACTTTCAGAGACCTAAAAAGTACATCAAGTAAAGGCTTACTCTTTCACAAGACCACACAATAGAACATAGAGACATACAATTGATGCAGATTGGTTGGGCTCAATTAATGATAGGAGATCGACGTCTAGATACTGTACTTATGTCTGGAAAAATCTGGTTACATGAATAAGCAAGAAACAGTATGTAGGGACAAGGAGTTGTGCAGAGGCAAAATATCAAGCTATGGCTAATGGAGTGTGTGAAATGTTATAATTAAATAGAATTCTTGAAGAGTTGTGAATCCCAAAGAACATGTTAATGAAGGTACATTGTGACAACAAATCTGTCATAAGCATTGCAGAAAATCCGGTGCAACATGATCACACAAAACATGTAGAGATTGACAAACACTTTATAAAAGAGAAGATTGATTATGGAGTAATTTACATATCATTTGTCTCTACTATTCAATAAATAACGGATATCTTCACCGAAAAACTGTTTAAACCTAATTTGAAGCTTCTTTTAAGTAAGTTGGGAATGATGGATATCTATGCCCCAACTTGAGGGTTTGTTAAATTTTTAGAAATATTTTATTTTTAGTGTCCTCTATTATTAGTATTTTCTAATTTTAAGATTTAGAATTATTGAAATTTCATAATTTTGATTTCCTTCTTTTATTATGAGTTATGGCTGATTTTATTGTTTTCATAATATGGGTGTCATCCCCCTCTGTTTATCTTGTAATTGTTTTCTATGAAATGGAAGATAAATAATTATTTTTTCTCTCTCAAAATCTACAAAAATATACTAGAATTATATCAAATTTCGAGACTTTATTTTAAATAATTAAAAAACATTTAAAAGATTATATTTTACCTTTAATATCAAGTGATTTCATATTATTTATTTTCTAATTGTCTCATTTATCATTTTATTATAACATTAGCTTAAATTAATATTATTTTCTCTATTTCATAATAAAAAAGCCAACTCCAGCTCGATTAATTAATCATACTCAAGCTCAAGTTGAGGGTGGCTGAAGTTCAACTTGCACAACAAAGAAAAGTGTTTTTTGGTACCAATAAACGAAGAAGAGAAGAAGATGAAAACGGATGGTGCTGGTCATGTATTAACAATGGAAAAATCACCTGGAAGATAAGGAACATATGTAGAAGTCCCTTGCACCACCATGTTGGAGATCTAAAGCAGCCCGAATAGCTGACATAGAAAACCTTCTTAATATGTACATCTAAATCATAGAACAGAGAATATCAGGTCAAAACTTTAGCAGTAAGATATGTGCTTCCCGTGCACATGAAGCCGATGAATTGAAAAGAGATTATACCTGCTGTTCAAAATCAATATTTGATCCCAAACGTGGTTTCAGGAACACTTGTTCAATGATTGGCTCTGTCTGAAGAGCAGACTGCCCCAAATCTGAATTATCAGTAGGCACTCGTCGCCAGCCAATAACCTCATGCCCCAATGACACAGCAACCTGCAGTGCAGATGAAAGTTTCAAACATCCAAGGAAAAATTGAAAACTCAATAACAATGGAATCATACAAAATTTTATTTCTTAAATCTGATTGGGAGTCTATAAAATGAAGTTTGTCTAATCAAGGATACACGAACACTGCAAAATATATAAAAAAAGGGTGCAATTTAAATACTGTATAGATTTACAAGATAAAAATGGAGTATTTTGGGATCTCAGATTTTTACTCCAAGTGATTTTTGAGAATTTGTTTCCTTATGTACTTAAGTTGCTGCTTACAGGCTTTTCGATTATACCCAAAGATATTGTGCAGTATCATCAAGGACTTCAATACTTTCAATTTGCTGCTTTAATTTCATTTATGGGCCTTGTGGGAGTTGTCCTATTACAATCTTCTGGGAGGCACCCAAGAAAGCACTCAAAGGTTGAAGAAGCAGCAGGAGTCCCTCTTCCTTGGCATCTAAAAGGCCCTTCTTGCCATCAAAGGGAAAGAACTTAAAATTAAGATAGGCAAGCCAATCACAATCACCAATCATGTTCTCCTCAAAGAACCAAGAGGCAACCACAGTATGAAGATAATGAGGGGCTTCACCAAAAAGATACTTCTCAAGTTAAGACACGCACTCCATAAGATTAATATCTTATAAAGGATGTGGCATAACGAGCATGGGGTGCAAGCTCTACAGTTAGGTTTCCCTCAAAAAAACCCTCTACGACTAAGCAGCAGAGAGGAATCCCAAAACAAGCCAACCACAAATATCCACTAGTTCATCATAAAAGATACAAAGGGAAATCTTCTCTCAAAAAATCCACCTTGAGTTATGAAAAGAGTTCCAAAAAGATTCAAAAAATATGATATGACGTGGACATTGATTGGTTCCGCATGGAAATACAACTCCCAAAGCTCCAACGCAGAAAGATTCCAGTGAGCATCTAAAAAGATCAAAGGCTTACTTATAATATACTTCATATAATCAAGAAAAAGGGGCTTCCCAAAGAAAGTTTTAAGCTGCATAAATCTCTACAAGGGCCTATAAACCGAGGGTTTCATCAGTCCAATGTTTAAGATTACTGACTTGATATCAAAGATTTGTCATTGGATTTTTTGGGCTTAAGTGGTTGTCTCAACTATTAGAGCTTAGTGAATCAACAAAGCACCTCGACCCTAAAGTTTGTTAGATAAGTTGTCAACGTGTGATTATAAGACAAATAAATATTTGAATTTGTTGGATAGTAAGTGTTTTTGTTAACTTAGCCCTCAAAAGTTTTTTATGATATGACAATTTTCGCCTTAGGATTGGAAGCCTATAAAATTTCCTTGTCCAGTCATTGGTATTATTGAATTTCATGAAGTGAGAATAGTTTGCCCTCAAGGGGTTGTACAACTTCAGCTCCAAACATGTGAGGATAAGTAGTTGCTTTTGTTGCCATTTGGTATGTTATTTTATACACCTATAAAACTTATGTTAGCTTATTATGGAATTTTCTTTCATGCTTGGAGACAATTTTCTCAGCCAGCTTTACCAAAATCTTATTGAACACCTTGGTTAGGCTTTAGGCTGTTGAGCTGTATTATAAGGAGTAACACTAATTAATCTTGTGTTTTGTTAGTTAATTGTTTTTTATGCTTTCGAATCTCCACCCTTTGTTTCACTCTCTCTCTATCTCTCTCTATCTGACATAGAGTGGAGGGAAACCCCTAACTTTGGTTGGAATGAACCAATTGTCTGATAAATCTCTTGCTATCTTTGACATGGTTCTTGAATGATTCCCAAAGTAAACCCTACATTCTCGATATTATCAAAAATTCTCATCACATGACGTATGGGAAAGATTCCATGTGAACAATTACCAAAGGAATCTAGACATACCTCTTAATTTTCTTAATAAAAACCTAGTTCTCTCAGAAACTGTCAAGTTACATTGAAAACGTACCGGTTGCATTGCACTCCACATAATCATTTTCAAATCAATTTGACAACATAGGTTGTTCGTGTTTTGGTACTGATTTGGTTTTGATCAATTGAAGGAAAAAACATTTCAATTATTAGTCTGGGCACGAATAAGTGGAGGACTATGTAAACAAAACTAATTCGCCATAAATTAGTGTTTAATCTTCATGCGTTCGCGATACAAAATAAGTAAATAGTTCCATGGCTTTTGGTATTCTCTTCCAGGTTATTCTGCTGGATCATAATGAGGTTATTCCGCTGGATCGTAATGAAACCAGAAAAGATGGATTCTTAGATCATGATATCCATCTCCACAAAATATACCTTGCCCTTCACTCATCTAGTAAATAAGGATATATAAAGATTAGATTAAAATTTTCTCAATAAACACACTAAAAAAAAATTATTAAACTGCTTTAAAGGTACCGAAAAAGCATCTTTCATACTGACTACAGCTGTTATTATTCAAAGTTACCTGGGTAAATACAGCCTTGCTTTCCTCACGACGACCTGGATCAGTAGGCAGGAAAAACATGCCAACCGCATATTGGTCAGGTGGCGGCAAATCAAATCCAAGATCCCTGGCTACCTAATTAATTAAATAAGGTTAATAAATTTGACAAGTAATAAGCAGACATAGCCACTCTTCGCGGGCCAAAAAAAAAATCAACAAAACCATCTTATGTTTGAATTTGCATAAGGGAAGCATTTTTTGAAAAAAAAATCCAAGCAGCAAGATGCACTCATAGGACAAGAAAAAAATGAAAAAAACAGAATCTGACTCGAGAGCAAAACTCATTAAACACAAACAGTAACCTCCTTGTAAAAATCATGCGGAAGCGCTACAAGGATGCCTGCCCCGTCACCGGTGTTGACCTCACAACCGCACGCTCCCCTGTGTGCCATCCTAACCAACATCTCCAAGGCATCGGCAACCTACACAAAATTCAGCAGAAAACATCGGATTAGACTACGACTAAACCAACAAGAGGTCTTCCTCAAAACATATGAATTAATAAAAGGACATATTCACCGTTTCCCGTTTGTACTCGCCGGAAAGCTCCGCAACAAAGCCGACACCGCAAGAATCCTTATCAAAAGATGCATCGTATAGACCCAGCGGCTTCTCCGGCACTTGAGACAGTGACATAGTCGCCGACACCACCTTAAGCATAGGGGAACGCCCCGGCCCATCTGTCCACCAGCGCTGAACCCGCTCGGAAGCCCGCAACTTCGATCCTAACAGTTTACTTTCCAAAAAAACCCCAGGGCACTGCCTCATAAAGGAGCATCTCTCCGTACGGGGCCCGCGATAAACACCCTTCTTCCTATATGCAATCAAAGGGACGCCCACGCACTCATTCTGAACCCTGAAAGCCGTGCCTGGCATCCCTGCCATAGACGACCAGCTTCCGATAACAAGTTGGCCAAACCCAGGATCGGTGTTCAATCAAACAAATCCCTGTATCCCACCAGATCCAGAAACCATACACCGCAAAACCAAAGAACCAGAATACCACAACACTTCTAACAAGATCCCAAATGCCTCCGTCTAATCCCTCCCCTCCACCAAATTACCTCAACGAATCATCCGATCTCACTTTTTCTCTGCAACAACAACAAAAACATAACAAATCGTCAAAATGGACGATCCTTCCGTAAAGATTTTAGCACAATACTTCTGACTAGATCTACCTGTTCCAAGCACAAATCAATAAAACAGGAATCAATGCCTTACTGACTAGATCTACCTGTTCCAAGCACAAATCAATAAAGCAGGAATCAATGCCTTCCAAAAACTAAATAAAACAGGAATCAATGCCTTACTAAAAAAAAAATAATAGATAAGCCGTTGAAAATCCGCGAAAATCCTCAGCTCCCAATCCGCCTTCCCTTCCTCAAAACCTCCGGCGGCCTTCTTCCTCGCCGCTCTCGCCGACCAATTCCCTCGCTCCGCACCTCTGTTCCCGGCGCAATTTATAGGATCTCGGGACAGCACCAGCCCAGCTACCACCGAATTAATCCTCTTTTTTTTTAATTATTTTTAATTAAAATAATTACATTTTCGCCACACTGGTTAGTGCTTACGGGTCAGAGTTTGGGACCCAGGTTAAATGGTGGGGCCCGGCAGCTCCGGTTGGCCACGTGGAGGAAAAAGGAACGCCTTGGTGGGCCCCACCTTTCCATCGCGAACCGCCTCCGCGGTGAAATGATAATGCATGGCGGTTGCGGTGTCGCCGTGTGCGGATTAATCTCACCGAGGTATGCTTACCGCCCCGCCCGTAAATTGCTTTCTTGACCGTACCTGACATGTTTGTAATTATGAACAAGAGCTTCAAATTGCATATCTATCCCCGAAGGTACAGGTGCAAAATTTTTAATAATAATCAGAAATTAATATTTGTTTATCAACTAAGTCTTCATTCGATTAAATTCGTGTCGAACGAGCGAAAAATGAACGGATGATTTTGATCCAGACGAATATAAACATTCTATTCATGAATCATTTTGAATGAATTGAACATGTATAAATATTGAAAGCTAAAAATAAATTAAAATAGATAATAGATTTGGTTGTAACTAGATTTGTGCTCTGCCAATATCCTATAAATCACAACCTCTTCTATTTGTATTATAAAGAGTAATGGAGTGAAGGAATGTGTCTCTGTGTGTGAGAGAGACACAGAGAGAGAGAGAGAGAGCTGCATCCAAATAACGACTGTGATCCATCGGGAGTCGTTTTTTTTTCTTCGCTCCATCTGTTGTCTGTACGCAACTTGCATCTGGAGTCCAGACATAATATTGTTTCGTGCGAGAGAGAGAGAGAGAGAGAGAGAGAGAGAGAGAGAGAGAGAGAGAGAGAGAGAGAGAGAGAGAGAGAGAGAGAGAGAGAGAGAGAGAGAGAGAGAGAGAGAGAGAGAGAGAGA